GTACTTCACAAGTAGCAAGTGTGCTGGACTGCGGGTCGAGAGGTCTGGCCTCAAGATCTGGTCGGATCAATGTGATATGTTATTGGGCAAAACACTCAGTTTACTCTCACAGTGTCTCGCTCTACCCAAGAATATAAATGGGTACCAGCGAATTGTCAGGGAAGCTTGATGAAATGCTTCGGAGTAACCTCACAATGAACCAGCTTCCCGGTTGTGCGATTTTCGGAGGCGAAAGGAAGAGTGGAGGCCAAGTATACATTTAAAGCTATACATTCAATGGGAAGAGGAGCTTACAAGACCAAGGCCTGAGGTCAACAGAACTGTTGTATAATCACATCAGGATATTTATAAGTCGAGCGCGGTTGCTAGGTAAGAGTATTAAGGACTAATCCCACACCAGTCAGGAGGCGAGGTGGGGGGTGAGAGGGTTTAGGATGCTCTCTGTCAATTCATGCCAAGGAAACCGGTACCAGCTGCGGCTGGGTTAGGTTCGAGTACCAGCCGCTGTTCGGGAGCCAGAGCCCGCGCTCCTACCCAAACCCACTCTTCTCTTCACGTGGAGGAACGAAAAAGACCGGACTCGAGAGAGCGGCGGAAATCGAGCCTACGGCTAGGTGGGCCAGGCTGGTACACACAGACTACATATCCTGGTTTTCGTTTTGGGATTCAACTATTCAACTGTTAGATACACTTTATTTTCAAAAGCAGCTCTACCTCAGAAAGCAAGTTTTCAAGGATTCTTTAATGGTGTCCTCGCATGTCTTTGGCTCAAGAAAGGTAATAATACGACATCGAAAGCTTAACCTTTTTTTAAAAAAAATATAAGCTTTGACAGAAGAAAGCCCCTTTAAAAAGAAATCGTTAACTTCTTTTCGATCTTTCTGGAAAAAATTACGGCAGTCACAGAACTAGCAAGCCAAACACGCAGTTTAGCCAAGGGAGATATATTCTTCTACTGTCACATTCAGCATCTTTGCTTTCCTTATAATGCAAAATTTTACTAAGAATAAGACTCGGTGACGAAGTAGTGTTCTAACTTCACGTACAACAAAATACATATCTTATTATCTCTTTCATTGCTCGTCTTACTTCACTCATCTTCCAACAGTAAAGAAGCGGATTCAATGAAGAGTTAAAATAAACCAGAGCCACCGTTGTCAACCAGGCAAGAAAATACGACGGAGGTGGTCTTCTGTCACCAATCAAAATTGTCATAATACTGTATGGTAAGTAACAAACACCTAATGCTAATTGAACCCATAGTGCACTATAGACTGCCTTCCTGTATCGTAACATGTATAGTGAAAAAGAATGATTTGACTGTTGTTGTTCGTGTTGCTGCACAGTAAAATGAACACGCATTTGTTGCCGCCGAA